TCACCTTTGGCCCAGAATGTTGAGTTGGCTGAGCTTCAGACTGCGAGGCCGGTTTCAACCAGATGGTCACTGAGTGTATACATTCAAGTTTCTGTTATCTACCCAATTTTTGTAACTTCTGCTAACAATAGGGTTACAGTGTCTTTGCCAAACATTCTATTATGCTTGCAACAGCATCTATGCTATCAGAGTTGCTAGCTACAATAGTTTATGCTAACAATTACCTATTTGTTCTCTAATTCACCACTGATACATGCTTTTAGGTTTTGAGGTTAGCTCTGCAAAAACAGTTCAGAGTAACAACCCAGAAGGTAGAATGAAGAGCACTTTTATATATAAAAAGCAGTTCGGATGATGGGTGAGGAGGAAGGTAACTTCTCTAGACGTCAAGCCAGGGTACTAAATTAGTGATTTTTTATTATGTTGAAGAATGATGTCTTTAGGTTTGTCTTCGGTAGCTTGAACTTCTTAATGTTTTATTCTGCTTGAAACCTTAGCTTTTCAGTGTCAAGTTGGAGCACTGCAGTGTCAGAGAGAAGAGGTAGGCTCTGTGAAATGGATGTTTCAAACAAATATACCAAGTCAACACTCATTTTCTTGACTTGGCAGTCGAGATGGTTTCTTTCTAGCCTGCAGGTTCCTGCTTTTGGGGGAAACTTTGCTATAGTGAACTTAAAAATAATCTCATCACCCCATGCAATTTTATTACCAAATTTTAAATTGCGAAATTCATAAAAGGAAGGTGAAGTTACAGTCCCTGGCTAGTGCCAGACTTCTGTCATGCTGTTGTGGACTACGGATATTCCACTTTTGCTAGAGTCTGTTAATCCTTTCTATGCTATTTCTACAAATGTCCCAGTTGAGGGAGTCACTGACTTTCCAGTAAAGGCAGTAGTTGAACTAGTTTGGTGATCATTTCCAGCCTTGGCAGATGCTTGGGCCAGGTTGAACAGTTAATAGAAACAGGAAGCGGCCCTAGGGGGATGCATACAGTCTGCAGCAGCGAGCCCTCTTCTGTTTGGGGGAGACGAGGAATGGAAAGGAGAGACTCAGCTTCCATTTGAGGAGAAAAAGCGAGTTTCCAGTTCTTCTGCCCCGTGAAGTTAGCTGGTCACGAAGGTTAGAGTTTGCACAAGATTGAAGTAACTATGGGACATCACTTTCTTCACTTTTTTGTTGCCCTTCTGATAGTGACTTGCTCTGACATGTTTTAAATGGGCAGTGCTAACTAGACTGTTAAGTACATCCATCCCAATGCTGTATTATTCCTTCCTCTCTTTGCTTGAGCTTGACCTTGCCAGTGCGCAAGCAGGATGATTATTGGCTGAAGGAGGACATAACTCTGAAGTTAGCTGGTCACGAAGGTTAGAGTTTGCACAAGATTGAAGTAACTATGGGACATCACTTTCTTCACTTTTTTGTTGCCCTTCTGATAGTGACTTGCTCTGACATGTTTTAAATGGGCAGTGCTAACTAGACTGTTAATTACACCCATCCCAATGCTGTATTATTTCCTTCCTCTCTTCGCTTGAGCTTGACCTTGCCAGTGTGCAAGCAGGATGATTATTGGCTGAAGGAGAACATAACTCAGTAACGTGAGATAATTTGTTCTCATGGGCCGTGCACGCCACAAGGAACAAGACCCTAACGTTGTAATCCTGGCCCTGGCACTGACTTGCTGTACTTTATGTATCTGTTTCTTCCTTTCCATAATTGTCAGTAGTCACCTGCATTCCAGTGAAGTCCATGGGTGGCCGGTAAGAGGCCTGGCAGTGGAAGAGGGTAGCTGTGGCTCTCACTCTACTTGCATGACGTGGGCCGTAAAATTTCGTCTTATGCAGCTGAGCATTGCTTTTTAAGTACTGTTTCATACCAACGTGAACATAGCAGCATGTACGACATCCCGGACCTTTTCCTGCAGGGGAGTGTTGTCTCTTGCAGCAACTGTCTAATACTGGCACTCATGTCTGGGCTCCATAGCGGCAGCGGGGCCTGGCAGCAACTTGCAGAGATTCACTGCATCCGTTTCATGCTTCAGTCAAGATGAACCCTAAGGCTCATCTCTCTGAAAACTGTGGGCCAGTTTCTGTGCAAGTCCATCTCTGCCAGTAGCAAAGCCAAGTAACCCAGTCTACTGGAAACGTTTTTGGAGATTGATGCCAGATTCCCAAACTGGAGAGCATTAGCTTGCAATTCAAGTGGTGCTGACATTTGCGAGAAGGCTTTCTGTTCTAAGCCGTCAGATGTTACTTAGTGTATGTAATTAACTTGGGATAATTTTGCTTCAGAATGAAATATTCATTCAAAAGAGACTTAAAAAAACATCCTGATGTTTTTAATGTCTGGGTAGCAAGTGATGCTGCGTAGAGCAAGGCATACATTTATTGTTAGAGAGATTGGTTTCATGGCAACTCCTGTTTGTTACTATGGTACAGAGAAAGTCCCAAAGGCTTTTACTGTCCATCACTTCTTGGGTCTTGTGAGTAATACGGATACAAAACCCACTGACGTACATTAACGGTGGAGACAGAAAACAGTGTGAAAATACTATAGTCTGAAATACTCTGGTTGTCTAGTTATCCCAAAGGGCAAATGTAAAACTATTTTGCGTAGTAATTTTTCTAGAGTTTGGTAACAAAGCTTGTGACCAGAGCAGGAGGAGAACAGAACAGAAATGGGAGGGGTAAAACAGAGATTTCTTTTGCCCCAGAGGAAATTCAAGAGTTTGTTAGAGAAGTGATAAACAACAAAACCAAACCAGAAACCCATAGCTTGCAGAAGGTGGAATACCAAAGGCTCTGCCCTGAGTCAGTAAGAGAGCTGAGGATTTACTGAGAAGAAAGTGTTATGAAAGTTTAGAAATGAGGTAGTCCCATTTGATTAACAGACTGGAACAGGGTGTCGTGTGTAGTTGCTCCATCCAGTTCCTATTTACCTCCCCATTATGAAGTTCACTGACCACTTCTGGTCTCTCTAAATCTGTTACATATTTCAATTCTAATGCTGCAGCTTGCAGAAGGAATTGGTTCTTTCTAAGACTTGAACTTTATTGTTTCCTCTCTTGAAAATAATTCCAGTCACCAAAATCTCCCTTTTATGCTTTATCAAAACTGAAATTAAGTGTTTGCCTCGGAGTCCAGGTTGAATTGGCAAAGATTATGATCAGAAGAAACAACTGCTTGAAGGATGTGTGTGCATGGGATGCAGATCGGTGAATCCAGCTGAACACTGAGATCCTGTCACACTCAATGGCTTTTTTGTTGTTGTTGGGTTTGTTTGTTTGGTTTTTTTTTTTAGATTGTATCCAGGAAGGACCGTGTAAAGACAGAAATACTGACCCATGGATTTGCTCTTGGTTTCCCAATACCACATGGTTGCTCTGATAGTCTGGTCACTTCCATAAGTTTCAGTTAGTAGAGTTATTCGGCATTTTACCCTAATCGATGCAGTATCTCGCCAGCCTAATTGGCTGGATGAGATTCACAGCAGGCAGGTTGCTGCTGTTATGAGAAAGGATGAAAACTCCTTTGTAGCTGCACGTAACCTATAGGTGGGGATTCTTGTTTTGTACATAAGCATTTTAGTTCGGTTTTGCTTCTGTGGTCAGGCTGACAAATAAGGTTGAGTGCTAATACCAACAGAAAGCATCCCGCTCTCACTGAAAACCAGTTCTTTTTTTTTTTTTTTAATGTAGTCCTAAGACAACTTGTAGCACTGACCAGAGATGACACATCAAGAGGAAATCACGTCTGTGGTGAACTGAGTGAGCTTTGCAGCTTTGCTTGTTGACACATGCTCCTCACCTACAGCAGCACGCTAAAATCATCTTCATATTTTGATATAAAGAAGAAGGAAAGGAAAGAGGCGGTTACATTAACCCACTAATTTCTTCGTATGTTTTCTTCTGAGTATGTTAGGGAGTGATGGAAAGACATCAGTTCATAGTTTACTTTCAATTCAGCTCAATATTTGACACCAGTAATTGTTGTCCTCCAAATTTGTGTTTAGATACATCTGGCCTGTACCCAGCTATTGTGCCACTGCAGAAATGGGGGATGTGGCAAAGAGGAAAGTAGCCGAACAGTTGGCATCTTCCCTCCTCCTCCCTGCACAGTCAGTGAATTACACAGCTGTAGGCAGCTTGGGGGCAAGAAACTGAGGGTATGGAAATATTAAGCACCTACTAATTCTCCTTATTTCAGAGAGGCTTTCATATCGTGCGGTGTTTTTGTTTATCTCACTTCGTAGATACTTCTGCTTTTAAAAATTGGTCTTGTAGATGCTTCAGAGTGACTACCTTATTAATGGCTGCTTGTCTACAACGGTGATTTGTAAGCAGGCTGGTTATCATTTGGGACCTTTTTCTTATAAAAATGACAGCTGTAATAAGAGTGACAGCACAGTCATGTTATGATTTAGACTTTGTTCTATGGCAGCAGAACCAGAAGTGTAAGTTAAGCAGCTCTTTCCCCACATTTCTTCCTGTTAGAATACCCTTTATGCCAATAAATACCTGGTGAGGATGATAAACGCTTAATGCTTTTCCTTACGGCAGGGCGCGTGCTTGCCCTTCCTCGTTCTGTAGGTTTGTGGCGAGCCACGGACCCTCAGCCGGGAGCCTGCTGCTGTTAGAAGAAGGGGCAGCTGGTACCCTGTGTTGATGCAAGACTAATTCATACTATTTTCATTAAGTCTTTAGCTGTGTTATCTTGTTCGCCTCAGAGGATAAAATGTGTGGTGCTGGGCTTTGTTTCTGGCTTAACAGAGTGCAAGTTCAGTGCTCTTGGACAGATACGCACACTGTGATGAACTGCTGTAGTTTTTACGGGGAAAGCGTTATCGATGAGCTGAGCAAGCGCACTGCGATTCCGTTTCCTCGAAAGAAGCTGCATAGATACTGGTGCCGGTTGGATAAAAGATTTACCAAGTGGAGCTGCAAAGGGTTTTAATAACTGGAATATGTGTAGATCTTGCTCAATTTTTTTTTCCTTCTGTTGTAGTTTCTTGCACAGCCGACCACTTGAAGGAGAAGGAATTCTTCAACCTCTTGTTTCAAAAGACCTTGGACTATTTTCTGCTGCTCAACTCCCTTCACTCCCCCTTTTCAGTGAACAAAAGGTCCTAAGAGGAGGATGAGGCAGCTGAGAGGAAAACCCAAAAAAGAGACCTCCAAAGATAAAAAGGAGAGAAAACAGGCGATGCAAGAGGCCCGGCAACAAATCACCACCGTAGTGCTTCCCACGCTGGCTGTTGTAGTACTGCTGATTGTTGTGTTTGTTTATGTGGCGACTCGTCCAAATACAACTGAATGACGCAGCTTTTCAGACTTCCTAGCTTTGGGGTATTAATAATTTTATCAAGAGCCAAAAGGAACTCTCTGCCACTCTTTTAGTACTTTGCAAAGGAACTTGCTGGTATTTGCAAGTTTCTCTTGGTTAGGGTCCCGCAGTTTCTCTTTAGGAATGTAACATAAAACGTATTAGTGAATGTGCCAGTACGTTTTATGGTCTGGTTCATGTGCCTTTCACACTTTCAAAATGGTGTTTTTCTTAAATCTGTTTGAAGCTCTATCTTGTAAAAGGTAATTGTGTTCTGCTATAAATTTGTAACAAATCAGCTTTCAGCTTTTATCACTGTTATGGGTAACGTTGCTCCCATGAGCTCTTGTATGTCTATTCCAGAACTTCCAAAGAAGTACATTTCTTCTTTGTACTTACTGTCATATGAAGTGCTTTGATTCAGAAAGGATATATTTATTTTTTGAATAAAAGAGAGAAGTCTTACTTGGAAACTTTGAATTATTTTGCAAAAAATGTGACTTATTGTGAAAGCCTACGTTGTGTGATAATTTTTTCATTAAACACTATATGGTTCACTCAAAAAGAATTTATTTGTGCTGTGAGGTGCCGACATGCAAAGTGAATGCTTCAGGATCTGCTGGAAGGAATCTTACGGAAGTTGGAAAGGGTGATTCTACCAGTTTATGGTGAAGTAACTAATAACAAACTACATAAACACAGATAGTTGTTTATCTGAATGTTAAATATTTAAATCTGTATAAAGTAGCAATAAAAAGGTGATTTTGAATATAGCCCTTGATTTTTTTTAACTTTTTTTTTTTTAAAAAGGAAGGAAAAGTAACATTAGTATAACTTAGGTCTCTAATCTGTTTGCTGAAGTGAGCTGCTGTCCGGTGACATCCCCCTCTCCCCCTCACTTAAAGGAAGCTGTGAGCACAGCTTAGGCAGTTTTATTCTAAGAAATCAAACTCTAAACTCTGATCAAAATGGTTCAATAATCCTGTGTTCTTCTACAGCTCTTTATCATCCAGATAAATAAGGCACGCTCAGTAAGCATTAAGCTTCAGAAGGCTTTGGGGAGGGAATTTGAGAACTCTCAACTGCTGTTTAAATACAGGCCAAGCAAGGAAGAATGTGATGCTGCCGTGCACTGAAGTGTAGCAGGAACTATTTCTGTGACAAAAGTCAAGGACCCCTCGAACCTTCACTTCAGGTGCTGTCTTTTGGCATGGGGATAGTCCCAGGGAAGTCAGTGGGACTGTGGTTATGCGTGCCAGCCAAAGACCGTGCCTTGCTTCCTGCGTGAACCCTGTGTACTGTTCCTGTGCAGAACGCTACTGCCAACCAAAGTTGTGTCGCAAAAAAATAACTCGGGCAAGCACATGCAATTCCCTGCAGTAGAGGTTGCTCTAAGGCACGTGTTCCCAAAGCGGGGTGAGTCTATGGCCAGCTATGAACTAACCCGGTTCAGAATGAGCCAGATACCCAGTGATGCTGGGATGGTCACAGCCAATGATGCTTGCTGTGCCACCGCTGTCGGTAGTGCCTAGAATTAAACCAGCCCTGCAGACTAAGATGTTGCGCCAGGGGAGGTTTAGATTGGACGTGAGGAAAAATTTCTTTACTGAAAGAGTGGTTAAACATTGGACCAGGCTGCCCAGGGAAGTGGTTGAGTCACCAACCCTGGAGGTATTTAAAAGACGTGTAGATGAGGCGCTTAGGGACATGGTTTAGTGGACATGGTGGTGTTGGGTTGACGGTTGGACTCGATGATCTTGGAGGTCTCTTCCAACCTTCATGATTCTATGATTCCATGTTTTTGAAATACAAAATTTGCTAAAAACTTACAGGAAGAATTTGGATGACCTGTTAGGTTGGCTTTTTCCCTCCGCAACTTGCAGCACAGTTGGAATATATGCACAACAAACTACACAGACAAGATGGTCGTGGTGTAATGCCCAGAAGAGCGTGTGCCTACCGAGTGACCGGCGGGAAGGCTGCTGTGGAACCCCTGTGCTCACCGAGCTGTGCACAGAGACTGAAACTTATCTGTGCTTTAGGACTGAGAACGCTTCCTGCAGCTGGAGAGATCTGAAATGATGCATCTGTGAAAGTAATTGCTTAGTCTGTGTCGTCTCCCAGCTGTTTCTGTTCTCCCAGGCACCAAATCCTTTTTGTCCTATTTTTATTTTATCCTCAGTCAGGGATGGCTGCGACTGAGCTCTGATCGTTGGCCCTTTTTTGAAAGGAGGTGTTCAGCTTGAATGAAATTTGTGCCTGAGGAAGTGAGCAAAAGTGTGTGTCGTTTAAATATGGGCGTTCTGCGGGGTACTGGGCGTCTTGGGCATCTAGAATAGAAGCAAACTTTCCGCTAACCTTTCCCATAGATTCCTCTTGCTCATCTTCCTCTTCCATAGATCCTTAACCAAGGTTTTCCTGTCCCTGCTTGTTCTGTGATACTTTCTGATGGCTCTAACAAAGTCCCTGCCACTTTCCCATCTCTGGGGAGCGGATTTGTTTCCATCCATTCCACCCGCAGGGCGTTTTTATCAGCCCAAGCAATAACTTCATAATTCGGAAAGCCCTCCCTGAAACTGTTCAGAGTCCTTATGTGAGGTTTTTTACCCTTCATTTTCTGCAAGAGTTGAGTCTGTGACACGTAAGAGCAATTAACTGGCTGATAACAACTAAATAGGTAAAGGTCAGTTGGGTTAGGTAATATTTAAGATTGCTTCTCTAATGAGATGTTTCATTTCTGCTGCTTTTCCCTATGCCCTCCCTTTGCCTCTTGTCATCTGTGAATTCTTCAGGTCACAATAATAATCTTTTCAGAGCCAAATGTTTATTAATGTGAACCTATGGCTTAATGCTAATAAGAGACATTGTGTATTTCAGTTTCCTGAAATGTGCAATTTTACTGAGTGCTAATTGAGAGGAAAATAGTGTTACGCATTCTGAATTGTTCCTTACGCAGAAGCTAGAATTGATTTCACAGTTTGAAGCTTTAAAAAAAATGTATTTTTTTTTCTCTAGTAAACAATGAAGTTGGATTCTGACATTTTCTACCAAATTCCCTTTTACTACTATCGGATGTGAGAACGCGCGTTTGGAAAAATGGTATGAGGCCTCTGTAGACAGAAACTGTCAAAAATGACTGGGAAATAATCGGGAAGTAAATTAATGGCAGTTGCCCAAATACCAACTCCTGTGAACTTCTCAGCCAAAGGTGTACTGTGTCTCCGTTTTTTTAAGTGTATGTATTACTCCAAGTGTCAGTTGCCTTCAAAAATGTTTTAGAAATAGGGTTTCAAACCTTTTCCCAGCATACAGTAGCTTGTGGGCAAAATTGAATGATTTATTACAAGCATTTTACCAGAAAACTCATGCTGAGATACTTACGATATGGTTTCCAAGAGTGCTCGTTATCGGGTGAAGTCATTAAAAACCTGCCATTGCCTTCTGATAAATCAAGTTATAGAAGCAATTTCTTCAAACCAGTTTTCCAAAGCATAAATCAAATCTGAGTCAAATACTTAAAGATCAAGGTTTGAATGGAGTTTTATAAATCTCTTCGAAGTGCTAAGAAAATAAAGGAATCATGTCAAGTATTCTCGCAATGGGTAAATGCCCATCCGTGTTAGAAATGGCCCCAGCTCCCCAAAACCAAGCGAGAGAAGCCAGCGACACTGCCCGTGGTCTGAAGGAAGAACTACACATATTTCCAGAGCTCAGAGAAATTGGCTCTCGGTCTTCCGTTTCAATCCATCGACAAGAAAATGTTTACTTTTTCTGTCCATCGACAAGCAAATGTTTACTTCACACCCTGACGTTCAGAAAACAGCGCTTTTAAATACACCCGGCAGAGAAAATGCCCCATTCTTTTTTCAGATTACGTATGTTCGGTGCCCGAGCGGTACACGTGCAGGTTTGGACATTCCCGTAGCTCTGGAAGATGTGAACTAGAGCCTGCACTTTGATTCTCTGGTTTGGATCTGCATCACAGAGACGTCTCTTACCAGGAGAAGTTTCCTACCAGGGCAAGTAGTTCCAGTTCACAGGCTGTGCACCAGTAAAGCAAAGTCCTGCCATCCATGTCCCAGCCGAGTGTCTTCGTCATCACTACAGAGGGGGCTGTCAGCTGATGTTGTCTTCTGTACACCACCTTTATTTGGTTGAAAAGTTTCAACCAAAAAAATTCCTGTTACGGTGCTTAACGTGGGATACCGAGGACCAGGACTTCTGTAGGATTCCTTGCTCCATCTGGGGCTGTAGAAGGGTTCACGTCAAGTCAAGTAAATCCTACATCTGTCGCAGGAAATCCAGTGATGGGGTGGTTTAGGACTGTTCTTTGCAAGCAAACATGCTCGTAAGGTAACTGGGCAAACACATTCTTGATAAATCTGTTTCAAAGCCCCTAGCAGTTTGGTTACGAGTAGATTAGAGGAACAAACCGATTGGTTTGTTGGTTTAGGAAGGGACACTGGAGCGCAGCGTATCAGTGTCTAGGGGCATTGCTCAATCCCCTAGCCGAAACTGAGATGCAGTACATTAAATTACAGCCTACTTACAGATTTGAGGGTGTCCATGTGATTTAATAGCAACTCCGACAGAGTGAACTTTGAGTGAGGAAAAACCACCACGCAGTTCCCACATTGGTTTGGCCAATTCAAGCGAGCTCTGCTATGAACAATCTTTAACCTAGCATTTTCCCAGCAGACTGCTGCATCCGAGGGGGAAAAAACCTTCCCTCGCACAAGGCAGTTGGTGTAAAAGCTAGCGGATAGCTATTTCGCATAGAATTATATGGGAAAAAAAGCGATTGTGAATGATACAATTGGTTGTTGTAGGTTGTAAAGCCAGACGGGAACGTAACCCCACCACCCGTGCCCTCTGCCTCCTTCCAGCTGTTCGCTCTCTGGGAGACCCAGGGGCAGAAAGCAGCAGGACTGAATGGAGTTCAGCACGTACTTGAGCTGGCTGTGTAAATAAAACTTCGGTGACTGGCGTGACGTAGAGTCACCCGGGGCTCATCTCATTAGACAGTCTCTGTTGATGACTTACTTTCTCATTCCCACTGGTGGTGGTTAATCTAGTTTTGAATTATTAAGTGGTGGTGGGCTTGATTCTGTGTGCTATTGTACCGCTGTTAAATCAGGAATTCTAACCAGTTACGCTACGATAAAGCCAGAACAGTGAGACTGGGGGTTTAGGCACTTTCTGTAGGGTCTCTGATCACAGCAGAGATTTATTAGCCTCTGAGTGGGTAAGCTAAAGCCGTTGTTTAAGTCCACCCATCGGGAAAGCAAGAAAGCTGATTCTTCATAATGTTTGTCCATTTTTGTGTTCATTTGGCGCTGTGTTTTGCTGCTGTTGTTTGCATTCCTCTCTGCATGGTTCAGAGTACCCGCCGTGTCTTTGACACTCTCCCATTCCTACACTCCTAAATTTCCCATACAGAAGGAGAGAGTAAGAAATGGTAGGAAGAAAATGCACTAAATACCCAACTTTCATGCGAGCCACTTTTAAATGTTTCTGTTCAGTTCCTGTTGTTTCACCGACAGCCCCATCAGCGTAAGCTTTGGGAAGTGAATTGGACAGCAATGGTCTGGCAGCTCTTATACCGCCACCAATTTCAAAATCATATCTCGATGAAACATGTTGGCAACTGTGTGTACATGACCTCTGTTTTTCCTTCGGTGGAAAAAGCTGGTGGCAGCCTGAACCATTGCTCTTTTTTTTTAAAACAAGTCTTTCAACTGGGAGTGAAAAAAATGCTTTTTGGTAAAGCTTTGAAAAATCGTAAAAGAAGTCCAGCAGCTTACAAGAATTTTCCATTGCCTAGCTACTCACAAAGTAGAATAGAAATTTTCTGTGTGTTTTGGCTAATCCTTAGCTCCCGAACATTGCACCTTGTCCTGTCAAATGAACTTATGATTAATAATTCACTTCTTTTCATTTTTATTGGTGCTTTCAGACATTTATAGCCTTGGACCCTTCTGATTATTCCTTTTTTTGACAATATACATCTCCGATCCCTGTTCATAAGGTATATCACTTCTCAGTCTTTATTATTTCTGCTGTCCATCATTCTTTAAAGTTTTCCAAATAACTTGAAACGTGGTACATGTTGTACACACTATTTTTGGCACGATAACATCAGGAATATGTATTTTCCTTCAGAAACCTCTCACCAGTTCAATCAAGTTTCTACCTTTTAAGGCGGTTAAAGTATTCAGAACCAGCGGCGTGGCTCTGACTGTATCGGGCAGCAACGGGCTCTTGTTTAAATCGGGGATCGTCAGATGAGGAACTTCTGCTGATTTTGGCTGGCGAAGAGACGGGTGACCTTTCAGGTAAGTATGTGTTAAAAAAATGGCACTTTGAGCCATACTGGCTCAGGACGTTTGTGGCATAATATGCTCTGAGCAGGAAATAACAGTAAACAAGCCGGCTGTTCAGATACAGGCACTTCGCAGTTTTCAGTGCTTTTCACGGGGAGTTTATTATATGGCGTTACACAAAAGCCCGGCTGAAACTAACTCTGTTGTTTCATTCGCCAGAGTTAGTAGCTTGGCCAGATCTTAAAAAGCTTTAGAAAAAAATCTTGCTCATTTTTTGATAATGTCATTCATTTGTTCTGTATCGTCACTCAGACCTGTGTCACGAGAGGGATCCTCAGGCCTGGACCGGACTTGGACACATACGTTTCTTTGAAGATCTGGAGCAAGCTGTCTTGCTGTATTGTTTAAATCTTGCGGTAGGAAAAGAATCTGGCTAACTGGCTAATATCCCGTATTTTTCTTCTCTCGCCCTTCTGAAAGACAACATTTTGCTGTGTTTTTGCTTCTACAGATCTTTCTCAGCTTAAAATTTAGCTGTTTCCAGAGGTTCGTAAATGTCTTCATTAGTTCTTTTAAAACTCCCAGATACATCTCCCCTTGAGGACGCACATATATTTAGTTTGTTCAGATGTCCTTCCGTCATCTTTTTATTCAGTCCTCGTTCCTCCAGCTGAGTCTAGTAATTTTCCTGAATTTTCCTGTAAAAGGTTCTTTGATGTCCTCGTTTTCATTACTCATTTTATTGCAAACGGAGCCAAACCGGTATTTAAAATCTTGGTATTTTGTGTAAGTGTGATGTAGTGTACTTCGTCTTAATGGAAATATAGCTTCCAAAAACAATTTACATTTTTGCTGTGGTCTTGAATATTAATGAGACTTCTTTTACTCACAAACCGGAGCTGTTTGACAGTCTGGTATTATTTTTATCCAGATTCTTCCAGGAAGTTGGCAACAGTATATGCTGGAAAGCACTTCTTCAGTATCTCTTTCACTGAAATTGGTGGTTCATCAACACTGTCTGTAATTTCTGTTTCGCTTGCACAGCAACAGAATTCAGTATGAATTGCAAATAAAAGGAATCTCAACATTATGCAGTTTCTTGGCACATGGAGTTGAATTAACTCTGCTCAGTTTTATAATGTTTTCTTAAGTTGTAGAAAAATATAAAGAATTTAGGCCCTTACCTCAAACAAGTTGTCTGAAGTTAAAGGTTTTTTCCCTATTCCAATGTAGTTAAACAACGAGCCAACATAGTATCGAAACATCAGTACCAAAACAGGTACTTCTGAAGACAGGATTTAAAAATCGTAAAGCATTAATGTCAAGCATGTAAAGCACCCGAGATCTGCCCCAGGTGAAGTCTGTAGGTCTGGTGAAAGGAGCAATACGGGTGGCTTCAAAATACGTGCTTTGTCTATTCATGTTCCTCTTACAGACCCACATGGCTTAGAGCATAAGAAAGAGCGAGCTCAAACTTCTCATTTCAAGAGTCCCAAGGGCTATTTCTATAGCCAAGAATTGAAAGCATCTTTCTTAATTCACAGTGCTGCAACAGGGTCTCTGCTGCACACAATTTCACTATGCAAAACCAACCTGTATATTTTAGAATATGTTTAGAGTACGATATTTTGTAATACAGTCAGGTTACAATACACCTAAATCCGTAGGATAATGATTATCTTATCGAAACCTTGGTGTTAAAAATACATGCTATTGGCAACGTGCCTAAATACATTAAGCAGCTAGTTGCAGATTTTAGTTCTAAGAAACTCATGGGTGATTACTTGGTTTTATTTTCTTAATTGTGTGACTGGCTTAAGTGTGCCTGCTTTGCTGTATCCTGGCATATTTTTTTAGAGTATTTTCAGAGTGTCTTTGCAGTTCTTCAAGGTGCGAATTCAAACATTCTTCAAACTCTCTGGTATGTTTCTCTTCCTCTTGAAGGAACTTTTCTGTTGTTGCAAGGAAGGACATCTCAGGGGGAGACTGAGCAAAGAATAGAAAATCACGGTTAGTAAAAACCAGCAAGTACTACAACACGTTTGCATTATCAACTTTTAGATTTGAAAACCATCTCCACCTATAGCAGCTAATAACGCTATAACGCTTAATATCTCTCCAAGAAAACATGAATTTGGGCATACGTTTTTAAAGGCACTCAGGTGCCTAAATGACGTAATGTGAACATGATGATTGAATATCTGTGATATTCACAGCGTTAGGATGTAGATTTGCCATTAAAAATTTAAATATCCCATTAGACAGAATTAAGCTGCTTCAGAACCTCCAAAATCTTTGGATCAGCTAAAGATGATGTTCGTCACTCGTATAATTTTGACCAGGACAGAGGACAACAATCTGGTTTTTGGAAGTACAGAATATAACTAGTGGGTACTGCTGATTGCCTCCTGTAATTTTAGCTCTCTGCTAATCTCTGTGATGCTTTCTGAGGAAAGGAGGAAAACCTATGCTCATTTCAGTACTATCAGCTTCAAGCCCTGATATTCTGGAGAATGTACTGAATTCTATTTGCTGCAAGTAGTTCACTGAAAAATCTTCTTTCCATTTAATGAGCATTTAGTAGTCTGAGACATAAACCACACCAAAATCAGTCTTAAAATGGTTGTCATGGGATGCAGAGTTGTGTAAAGGAAAGGACATGAGTGAGTCTTTGCTGGAACAAGTTCTAAATTCTTAAGCAGCAATTTTTGTTAATTCTTTTTGCTAATACTTAAGATGCATTCATGGCAATGTCTTGATCAAAAGAAATATGAAATAATTTTTCTTTGCCTAAAGATATTATGCTTGTTTAAATAAATTCAATGTTTATTTGTATAGAGAAATACAATTTTATGACATGAATTTTTAACAGTCGACTGAGAAAAAACTTAGTATAGGAGCTGTAATACTGAGTAAGAGAAAGATAATTTTCTGTCTTTATATGATCATATATTGGGAAAGATGATTGACATTTATTATCTTAATTAAACCATATGTTAAATAGTTTTAATAACTGATTGAGTTATTAGTCTAGAAACTCTGGTTTTGTTTTTCCTAGAATGTAAAAAGGAGAGTTTATCTGTCAGCACATCAAATAGGAATGTCTTCAAATGATTTAAATATTCAAATGTTTTGTGGAAAAGGCCAATGCTATTACACCTGTAAATTTTTATTCTAGGCTCCATTGTATCAGAACGGGGTATTCCCAGCTTCCACGGCAACTAGAGGCAGATTTGGTCTTTGCTTTCAGCCTGGTTTAAAACTGCCCTTTAGCAGCTTTTCAGGCCAAAAGATACTAACTAGAGAAATGCTTTAAAGCACTATTCTATTCAAACTCTTTGCGGCAGACCTTGAGGTGAAATTTGGAGATTTCCTATAGGAAACCCCTTTTCTTTTCAAAGTACAGCAAGTAAGCGATAGCCAGAAATAAATTCTGAATGTAATACCATCCTTCTAGAGTGAGACAGGCTTTCTGATGTATAGAGCTCCTAAAATGAAATTCACAGATAAAGCAGAATCTTCCTTTTCTCAGTCCCTCCAAATTAGTGTTTTAACGGGGCAGAGAAGAAAAAGTTACTTAATTTGCCATGGAGGAATAAAGAACCCAAAGGTATCGGATCACTTTGTGCCACAACACTCTTCCATTAATCCCTGCCCTAGCAGGGTTAATCTTCCAATGTTTGAGAAACTCTGGAGGGAGATCACCTGCCTTCTGTTTTTCCTCATAAACACATGCATGATTTCCCATCCATAAATCATCATTGTTTTCATATGAAGAGTTGTTCCTGAGATTTTGAATGCCATGGCTACATGCACATTTATTCCTTCACGGGCTAGGTCACAAACATATCTCCTTGTGACATCTGGATTCAATGATAGAGTTGGCAGTACTGTTTTGAAGTATTTGAAGAAGGCTTTTGTATTATGAAGAAGACATTGGATTTGGATGCTTTACTTAAAGAATCACCATGTGTTTCGCTTACTGAAAACCAACTCTGAAATCACTGATTCAATACTGAGCAAATAAAATACTTCCAGTGAGAAGCGTAAGAAACTGGGAAAATGTGAATCTGAAATACGAATTTAATAGGTGTCATCACCTAGAGAAAAAAAGTCATGTCGGGCTTTTCCATATGGACAGGAGATTTACACAAGTGCTAGTCTTCAGAAATATATCAAGTTATGAGAGATTCTCAGAGATTCATTATAATGTTTACAATTGCTGACTTGTCATTAGAAACATATTGACTTCATGATCAAGCTATCTTCCTACAATGCTATTGTCCTTTGCTTCAACTGGTACTTACTTTGATGTGTTTTTTCTTGAAATACACTGTAAACTCCAAATGAGACATTCCTGAATTTCCTCAAAGTTGAGAGAAGAATGTTTACCACTTAGAATAAGCAGATCATGGTTTCCTACAGCTCCTTACCCGAGGGTCGGACATCACTGACTATCATTTTAGATAGGTCCCTAATGCCCTGGTTTTTATGCACTTTGAGAGGAGGTTGTATCTAAACAGGTCTAAAAGGCAACATTTCTTCTTAGCAACTAAGCTTTGCTTTCCAAGCCTCTGGTCTGTTCTTTCACTATGTTCTTTATTGTCTGTACTTTCAGCGCCTGAGAAGAAAAACTGTAAAGAAACTGCTTTAATCCATGTCTCAGATGAGATTCATGGTCCCTAGTTTTGATTTTCTTTTCCTCAGATAACACTTCTTTTATGTCTTTCGGTTTTCTAACTGGAGCTGGATAGAGATGTGTCCATTGGTAAGCTTTCAACCTAACTTGATGACTCTCTACTGGGAGGAGAGATACAAGTCTTTGTCTAAAGCCCTAGAGACTATCTTCTCTCTTCCCTAAATACCAACAGAGTAATTTTGATAGGTATCAGGACATCACCTGCAATTCTGATGTTTTCAATTGGTGCCACAAATATTCTTCACAACAGTGGTCCATTATAACATCTGCAAAAGTTTTGAACATACTGGAGATTTCACTTCAGTGAAACATCAGTCCTGAAAACTCTGTCAAAGAACTCTGCTTTACAACATATTGTATGGCTTTTTCCTCTTTCTCCTTGATGCAATGGCTTTCCACTTGAACACAGAGCTCTAGAGTAACAGTCTGTTGAATCATCTCTGCACTAAAGCTGTGGTATCCAATGTCAGTCTGAGTGACAATTTAATTTTGGCAATCTTCTGAACTTGTACCTGCTTCAATACCACTGATGTGGACTTAGACACTGTACTGGAATTATCCCTTGCTTAGTAGTTTCATTATGTACTTTGCCCACACACCATCTGGAAAGTGTTTTCATTATAATCTAGTCACCTGTCTTGGCATCGACCCTGTCCTGAGTGCCAGCTGGGAAATAGTTTCCCTGCAGCTTGCAAAAGTGTCTCAGAATGGACATTTTCCCTGAGCTGGCTGGAAACAGAAGCTTTGTGATCTGGTTTCTCTGTCTGACACTTCTGACAGAAGAGAGGAGGAGAATGGGTGTTTATCAGATGCTCCTGAAAAAGTCCAAACAATTCTTTTCACGATTAGCAGTTTAAAGAGGAAGACTCCCAAGCCATGAGAAACCAATAGCCATTTACTTAAAATCCCTGTGAAGCAAAAGAATAGAAAAATGGAAGTGAGGTCAAACACCAAGGACTATGTGGTTCTCTCCCTGCTCTCTGACTACTGGGACACAGCTGCTGGAACCGTGGTCAGTGAAGGGCTGCACTGCAATCCCTGCTTCCCAGGCAGGCCATCACTATGGTCCTGCCTATCTACAGTGAGATTCTGGACTATGAAGACAGTCTTCCAGCAGCCACGTCTCCAACAGGAAAGGATGTGCGTCCATTTCTGAAGTGGGCAGCACAACTGGGGTATGACAACCAGAAACTGCTTGAAGATGATTGTTGCTGTCATGATGCCTCTTCTCTCCTTCAGGTGATGAGTGGCAAGAAAATTGCCTATTGGTTCCCCCCAGTAAATGCTGAAGTCTTCCCTCTTCTCTCTCTGCAGGCTCAGCCACACACCTGCCATTCAGGGTCTCCTGGGTACAAAGATGCACGTATCACAGCTGCACACAGAGATGGCTACACTCTAGTCCTTACTAATCTGTTAGTTCCATTATTGAATGTTGGTGTGGTTACGTGGTTTGAGGTCCGGACAATAAGTGCTAAGTTTTCAAGTGGAAAAAAATGTTGGCCTGTAGTGGAGGCCTAAGGAAGAATAGAAGATACTAAGGAAGAGGATAAAGCTCAAATTTAAAGAGAGATCTAAAGTCAAAGAATTATGGAAAGTTTTTCCTAAGAAGTTGCCCTTGGCAAAGTGGGATTTATCTCACTTGTCATGGAGGTTGGTAATCTTCAGCCTATGAAGACTGAAAGAAAGAATGCTGCACTATTACTCTTTCATTTCAAGAAAAATAAGGATTACAGCAGTTATCATTTCTGTTCCTTTTCAAATACAATAGCTAACACATGGAAAATAGTTGCTGCAATTCCTCTAATTTCATCCATCAATCGGATGCTGTAGAAACTTGGTTTGTCTAACAGCACTTAAGGCAGTAAGTTTGCAGGCATTATGGAAACACACTTAAAGCAGAGTGCTCGTACAGAAGGCAATATGAAGCAGAGTGCCCCAATATAGAAGGCAATGAGCTACAATGTAGAAATCTCTCTCACAGTCACATAATGGCAGGTAATTATCACCATCGTTATTAGTACAGAGGTATGGCCCAGTAGGGGATGTTTAATCTCCAGAAAAACTGCATTTATGTTAGGATAAGGTATTTCCATTTTTGCTGGGCTGGCACTGTATAAATAATAATGACAACAGGGGTGATCTAATTTTTGGATCCTCCAAGGCTGCATTTGGTCCACAGATGGGTCTTTGAGAATATATGTGTTATAGGAAAATAGTTACTTACTGATAATTTGATTTCTTCTGCATTGTAAGCAGGGCTCAGTAAGCTGCCTGTTCTGCCCTTTTCAGGAAACAGCCCACCAAAGCCCAAAGGATTCCCCATTGGTGGTGATGGAGATTTATAATCTATTTTCTTTTCATGACCCCCACGAAGTGTATGAGAAGATAAAGTGCTATCACTTTTTGAACCAGTGATATTGCCTTGGCCATATAAAGCAGGACTACAGTTTCTGTGGTATTCACTGGCTGTGAGCATAGCAGTCTGTTGACATTCCATTTCCCGTACATCTTTCTTTTGGAAAGTTCTAAAAGAGAAAAAAAAAAAAAACCAAAGTATGAAAACCAGTTAAAACTCTAAGCTATCACAGCAAAGCCAAGGGGTTTTTTATTTTATTTGTTTGTGCAATTTTGTAAATGTCTGAGCGTGCATTCTCTGCCTGCTTCAGTTGTGACTTAAATCACACTAATTTAAACCCTTTCATTGGAGCTAAAGTTGAGTAACCCTGCTGTATAATTGTGGCAGGACAAGAGCTAAAACACAAACTCGATTCAGGTATTGAAGATACCAATACTCCTTAAGTGTTACCCATCCCTTGCCAAAGGTTATCCTCCCTTTAGCTTTTCAGTGGAAGAAGCTATGTAAGCACTCTTCAGCCATGTCTCGATAACTTAGCTTATAGTATGATAGGAACTAGAGTGAATTTAGCCACACAAATAGAGGAAATGAAATATGAAGGTGTAAGTGAGACAGGAAACAAAAACTGTTATTAGTGGTTGGATAATTAGTCGATTTTGATCTAATATCACCTTAAACAACTATGTTCAAATAGCTAGAATTTAGAATAAATGTTTAAATAAGTTAAATAAAAAAATAGTACAGGAATCTTTGATCCTGCATTTTTCCTGCAATACTAATTTTGCCACTGATTTAATGATAACACGTTGGAGATTAATATGAGAAATAAAGAAAATTTTAAAATACACTTTTAAAAAAATGGTAAAAGAACATGCTTTTGTAACAATAAGTGAAATCTTCAAGCTTACAAAAGAATTTTTAAGTATTTTATTATGATGTTCCATAACTTTTGTATCCCACTTACAGTGATCAGAATGGATGTGAAAGCATATATGTGTATTAGTTTGTAGTTCTGTAGCAAAAACTATTATGGTAAACAGCAACAGAAAGCTATTTTCTTCCCATTCAAAGTATCTTCTTTTCCTGACAGTTAACTGAACAATTCTGAAACCATATTGATAAGAGTAGAGAATTTTGACACTAGCTTGCCCAGATATCTGCTGAATTAGACTAATTTTCAATTGTATCTTTACTTGTATTATATACAAAAACATGAAAAAAAATTATTTCAGATTTTATTACATTTCTGTTACCATATTTCTGACTGAGGTAAAAATTTCCATTGTACTGAGGTCTGTGCTTATGGGAAAACTGAAATTTTAGTCTTTGGAGGTAACTACTATACTTAAACATGATAGCTGTTTGAAAAGATCCTACCATTGCAAATATCCTAAACCACTTTACTAATTTGAAATGCAGCTATAAAAGCTTTTAAAGATCAAGTTCTCTGCCACTAAAATATAATTATTAGAAATATTCAAGAGTATGCAGTGCTGCTCAGATCCAAGGAAAACAGCTTTTTTTTTTTTTTTTAAATAAAAAAGAAGAATTTGCCAAGCACAGGGAAAGGACAGTGTTTTCTGCAGAAAGATCACACCATCATTTTCTAATCTTAATTTAAATATTTGGTGTTGGGAGAGACTGGCTGTGCAGTCTTAATGGACCCTGCTTGTACATAAGCCCTGAAACGTGAAACTGAGTACTCCATAAATGGGCTGTGCGGAACAACTCAGAGAACTAATGAAGAACATATTTTTCTCTGATTATAAAAGAAGTAGTGATTAAGATACTCTGAATGCTACAGGAAAGCAAATTATAAGCATGATGCTATAATATTATTATTACTACTATAATATTATTATTTTACATTCTAACATAGAACTCTCTGAGAATATCCACCAAACCTTCCAGTTTTCTAAATCACCTAAAATGGTTATCTTTATGGGGGCAGAGTTTTCTCCTTTCTTTCATGCTTTTCTTTAAATAAATACACTCTGCTCTTTGGGCACAGGAGAATACCTTTCTTCTTTTTTTTCCCCTTACTTTAAAGTCCATTCCCTCTATTGTTTGGATGAAGGGCACAGTGAAAAAAACTGCCACAACTGAAGATAGATGGCATGAATAATAAAATCACAGATTTTTTTTTTCATCTTGTGTTCTGACCTTTTTGGAAGTAATTTCCTCCGTTAAACCCACAGTAAAGTCTATGTGATCTGTGTTCTTTTTTTCCCCCAGAACTGCTTCTCTATGTATTTAATAACAGTTATTACTGTTATGTTATAGCTTACTTCACTAAGACCAGAATTTTCAGACTTGGGTGCCTACAGTTATGGTAGCTTTTAGATAGTGAAAACAGATAAACCCCACAAAAAGGACTGATTTTTTAAGGGAACTCCACTTCCTACTATAATCCGTAGGATTGCTGGGGCTGTTTGCTATCTTGGAAAAACATGACACCTACTTTCAGGTGCTTTGATATGGATCCTATGCCTTCACTTCAGACAGATTTCACAGCTGGGGTTTAAATTTCTGTCAGTTCAGTGCAAAATAATACCTAAGAACAGAGTTCCACTTTGAATACAAAGGTAAAGGTAAGCAAATACCTGCAAATTTGTAAAAAACTGTCCATTTGTTAACACTGGCAAGCAATGCAAATACACTATAACTGCAGCTGAATAACTTACGCTTTCAGTGGGTTTACTGTCATAGAGTATTTAACACGTACACATACTTCACAAAAATAAGATCACTGTTGCCATCGCGACATATGGGACAAGAAGTGAAAGAACAATGTCCTCGCAAAGGGAATTTATATAGACAGGATCAATTTTTCCAGACTCATATATAAAATCAGCCTGGTCCCTATGCAATCAATAACTTCAGTGGTGCAAAACAAATTCCTTACACAGCTTGTGCTGGGTGACATACCTAGTCTAGAGAAACAAAACAACAGATCTGAAATGACCGGAGTGTCTTCAGAATTCATGTTGTTGCTTTTACCTTGCAAGTATAACTGCTAGCTTGATTTTAAAAATGGTTTAAAACTATTTTCCTCAAGAGACTGTTTTCACTGCTTCCAGTTTATTTATTGCAATAACTGATACAGTGGTGACTATGGCTAAGAATGTGTGACCTCCAAAGGGTAGTGAAAACCTCCTTAAGACAGATACTTCACTGTCAACATAGACCCTTTAAGCCATCCCCAGCTGCCTTAGCACGCATTCAGTCCTAGCCTTTACCCCGTCACTTTTGCCACATGATGAAAGTGCACTTTGGCTTGACCAACTACCTATTTTGTGTATATTTTTATGGTAAATAAGTAGCCTTTCATTTGGGAACTCACATGCATGTTTTAATTTTGGAAGAAACAGGCTAAATACATCAGCTTCATCAGAGAAAGCCCTCTTCAACCATGCCAAAATTTAAATCAACTGTATGTGGCCAAGGTCTAAATAAAGGATTGAAATCTTGAGGGTGGGGAAAGCTTATGTAAATGGCAATTAGAAGTAAGTCAATTATCATATATAAGAACAGTAATTAATTAAAGTGGTTATAGGTAGGATGTGGCCACAGTCTTTTTTAGCAAAAAGATGCCACTCCTGCATATCTTACTTTGTAATATTTAGAAATTCACTGTATACTGAAAGAAAGAAGAAATCATGCCTCTTTCTACATTGCCAGTATAACTTCCTGCAATTTCCTGTATTTTCTCTAGAGGTCTCCTATCTAATTAATGACTGTGCCCATGCCTAGGATTCTAGTACTGATTGTGAGACATGACTGAAAAATACTATAGAATATACTTGATTGAAGACTTTTTTTTTCATTGTGCAAACCTTTCTAGGTTTCTCAATGCAAACAGGAAAACCAAAAAGTACAGCTTCTGAAAATTACTATTTAAAACACAAACACACACACCCCCTTGCACAAACACCATGATTCCTATTTTTTTACTATGTAAAAAAAGTCTTTGTGCCCTTTCTCCAGTGCCATAATTACCATGGAAACAGAACTGCAAGTTAAAACAGAAATAACATGGTTTATGCTCACACTAAAATAAAACATACCCCAGAATTTTACTCAACCAACATCAATTGCCTGGTTTATCTGCATACATTTGATGGTTGAAAATTTAATTTTAGTTTTCTGAGAAAATCTTGAGGTAGTTCCCTGTTGGGGAACAGAGAACTGACAGTATAGAGGGCCCAATCTTAAAAAGACTGGCTGGCTGATGTGTATATACAGCACACGTGGAATTTGCACATTTTTAAAAATCTGTGTATGTGTTTATTTAGCTAAATAGCTTTTCATTTAGGAAATCAAATGCATGTTTTAGATCCTGAAAACCAGGCTCAGTATATCTGTTTCATCACATTAATTAGAATCATAATTTAAATTGTGTTCAGTAGTGTGGTTGAGATTTGTGTTGTGAGGCAGGTTAGCTCTCCCAGGTTTCTCTCTCCCAGTTTTGGTTCAACATTGGTCTTCAATGGCTATGAAATCAAAATCCTGCAAATCACCTGCATAGTTCTATTGGCTCTTACACTTAAATTCTTATGAATGAAATTTCACAGCTCCTCAGGTACAGCAAGTGTAAGTCCTGAGAAAATGGGAAAAAGTCTTACTTTTTCTCACTTAAGAAGAGTGGAAGCATAAGCAAAAATTGCGCTGACCAATTTTTGGTGAAATTATGAGACCTAGAGGTGCAGAATAGTCTGTATCTTGGTATGTAAATACTTGTTTCAGAAAAACCTTCAACATCGTTTGAAACTTAGTACAAAAACAGCCACACCTGCCACATTCATATATATGTATATATTATGTATATGCATTATGTATATGTATGATATATAATATATATATTTACATACACATGAATACTACCTCCAACACTAAACATCATATTTAAAAGGAAATTTTAAGCAAGAATGTAGCTACATATAATGGGGTGCCTTTCTGTTTTCCAGGAAGAAAATAACTTTAAATTTTGCCAACGACTGAATGTCGATTTGGCTCCAATCATTTAAACTTTGCTACACAGAACTGTTTTACATTAGTGCTATCATGTAAGTTCTTTATTAAAAATGATCAAAATATTTCGCTTCCTATTAATTTTTACTCTCCTGTACTGTGGAATATTGTTTAGCAGGGAGTTTAATTTTCTTTTTATTACTGCAATGCCATGATTATAACATGTTTGAAGGTAATTCAGTGCTTCGCTGAATACAGGGAATTAAGAAGGAAATCATCACTACAATATGTTTTCTATGAGTCTGAGTATTCTTAAGTCTCATTTTTCCCTAACAAGGAGTTTATTGTAGTAATAATTTATTCAGGGCATCTGAAATTATGTTTCTTTTAAAAATCAGGTCACCCAAGAACACCAAAACTAGACAAGGCATTAAAATACATTTAATGAAACTTCCAACAAATGAAACTGGCGGGGCACTGTTGTAGTTCAAACTGTTTATTAAGATAACCTCCTGTGGAGCAGTTTACCTCTCATGTTGGTTTTTATATCCTTTCCTTGTCTTGTTTTTATTTGGCAGTAAAAAGACCTTCTGTCCTGTTTTGCAAAACCTGGAACTAAGAATAACTTAAGTAGCACTTAAAAAGTTTTTTAAGTTGTTGCATGTGACATATTAAAATAATGATCAAACATTTCTGGGACTTCATTCATTGCCAAATTCAGTTAGCCACCCAGAAAAATGTAGGAAATTCTTACAAATATACTAACTAGGTCTGATGTTTATGTTGGTGGGAGTTCTGAACGAACAGAAACAGAAAAAAAGCTTAACAGTTTGGCCCAGTTAGATGCTTCCAAAAAACGTACAGGAAGTTTCATATATGTGTACAATCTAAATATTACCTCTCTTCCTTTTCGTGCATCTTTGAATGGGTTTGGTAACTGTGCTCTGTTTCTCCATATGTATCCATGCGACCCAGTATTGATGTTTCTGTGTCATTTTGTAGTTTAACAAGGCTATTTTGTAATCTTACAGTCTCATGTTCCAGTTTGTGAATGGAAGCTGTGAAATTTCCATGTTCTTTGCTAGATAAATCTATACTCTGTGAAAGGCAATAAAACCATCATTAAATAGTTATTTTTTCCACAATAAATGGATGTTCGTATTTTTAACAAGCAACACAAAACAATGTTCTATGCTAAAGAAAGACCTAGCTACCATATATAATCATGCAGAACTTATAGCAAACCAAGAGAATTGCCTCCAGAAAAAAACCACTGCAGACAAATGGAAAAAAAGGGATAAGAGCCTCTATAACACAATAAAACAAATTAAAATTTCTCAACAAACATGCATTCAACATATTATTGTTGTAAATTCATCGCTTGCTTTGTAGAACTTATGACATAAAAGCAACCATAACAGCTATAGCTGCAGACTGTATTGCTCCCTCCAGTAACAATTCCACCAAAAATAACATGAAAAATTATAGAAGTTCATTACTATACTAGATACAGGGTATGTCTACAAACACAATTTAATATCTGTATTGAGATACAGTCACCTTCAGTTTCAGAAGCAGTAAAGTAAAGCCACATCAGCACGGAGTTCTCCATCTGTGTTACTAAACCCTGCTCCTCAGTTGGGTTAGCCCACATGGTATACAAGTCAAAATACTGAAAGTGGAAGCAACACATGCACTGCGACCAGTGGCTAAAGAGGCCCATCCACGAGGATATCAAGAGGGGAAAATGGAGATTAGCCCTGGAAGTTGACTAGCCAGGACACCCCATTCTTTTTTTGTCCTATCACTTATTCCACAAAGCCTATGCTGCACACCTGAGCTAGCTAATTTGGAACTACCTCTCTGCAGAATACCGCATTGCATTGGGTAAACATATTTGCAATGACAGTATATTGTCATCAACAGAAAATTCTCAAAGCATTTATCACATTACACGCAAAAGACTAACACCCCATACATTTTATTAGGTTGTGCTTTCATATATTTCTAGATTTACCTTATTCTTTTGGAACCCAGTAACTCATGAGTATTAAGGATTTGGTTCTTAGTATACCGCTAGCACAACTGGACTCCTGCACCTGAAAGCTTGTCTATTCCTTGCACTAACTGGTCTGATGTCATCTCTTCTGTAAACCTTGCCTTGCTTAGCTAGTTTTAGGGGAAAGTTATGAGCCAAGCTGGCATGGAAGTGCCAGAAAGTATAAGAAAATTTATTTTTTTGTGCAAGGATGGGGGGCCGGGGCTCAGCTATGTCTCCAAAGTGGAGAGGAGTGGCAGAACAGAGGAAGAAGGAGGGCACTAAGTCACCCTACCACTAGTAGCTCTAGAATCAGCAGTACAGTTATAGTGGCATGAACCCCAAAACTGAGCTGGCACAGCTACATTGCTTTTGAAATCTAAACAAGTAACCCTGCCTGATGATGCATTACACCATACTGACTGAGGCTGGCACTAGTTTGAGGGGTCTGAGTAGTGCTCCACTGTACTGTACAAACACATCTGTAAAAAATGTCTCCAGTCCCTGCAATCTTAATATCAAATACCTCACAATCTTTAATGTTTAGATCCTCACAATACACTAGTACAGTAGGAAAGAATTATTAAGTCCACAAATGCATTGATATGTGTAGTGACCTTGGTATATCTAGTAACTCGATTTTACTGTTAAAAGTTAACAAATGTGATATCTACAAGGATTCTTGTCAGACAGCTCTTCTCAATCTTCATGAAGAGTATCACCATAGAGAAGAGCTAGACATGCGTAGGCACATCCATCTATGTTTCCACAATAATATATCATATATACACATACATATATCCATAATATTGTGCATGTATGTATAGGTAAATACATCACTGATTGATAGACATATATGCTCTTTTAAGGGTGTGGAAAAGTGTGACATTCTTTCATATATTTGTCAGTCTACAGTAAGACAATTAGCAGGCTACAAATCCCCCCAAGATGTATTTACAGCAGTATTTACAAGCAACATTCCAGTGATTTTCTAGTGATAGATAAAATAACTGCAGATGTTCTGTAAGCAGGGGACGTTTTGAAGCTTTTTGTGGAAGGCAGCGTATATAATATTTATTATATCCATATAAACTATAGTTCCACATGATATTATGACACATTTTTTATGAATTAAACTTTAAATATCCCCTGTTTGGAGAGAAATAAATGCTAAACTCTGAAACTAAGCCAGGTGGGGGCAAAATGTGTCAGTTTTTTACACTGTTATTTAAATATCATATGAACAAAGGGGTAAAATAGTAAAAAAGGAACATATTTTTGTATCTGTGTGAACGATGACTGTTTAAAAATAAATATTTTATGAAATAAGTGACATCACTTACAAAAAATAGGCTCCCAGAAACTGTTTAGTGTCTAGACAGTTACTGAAAAATTTAGCTTACTTCTAGTTTATTACAGTTAAGGTCAAAATTATTCCTAGCTATACCCATCTTCAGACTGTGTGTGAATACCACTTGGTTTTGATTATGTCACACACCTTATTTTTATTTATTTATTTTACACAAGCCAGAAATCTCTAAATCTGCCATGATCTCAATCTACATTTACAATAAATATAAGTAACTGTTCTCCATATTGCATAGATGTAAAAAAATTACCATGCAACTTTTACACTCCTGGTTTTCCACCATCTCTTTTAGATGTGTGTTTTCAGATTTGATAACTTTGTATCGGAAATCCAACAACTAGGAAAAGATTCAATTCTTAGTTAAATACAAGAATATTACTGTTAACTTGAAATAACACTGAGTATAGATATATGTAAGTTTAATTTTCCAAAATATACATAAGGAATTATGAAACTAACCATATATTTTTTTTTAAAATACAGCAATGCTAAAGCAGAAAGAAGTCTTAAACCATCTATAAAAGATACACAAATGCAATGCCTCTGATTTTATTTACCTTTTTGAAAGAAGTAATCACTTAGGAAAATAAGGGAGTTCACATGCTGTTAGGAGATACAAAGAGGGACAGATTTTGCAGACCACTGAAACTGGATGCAATCCTAGTCATGAAGCCTAGGAACAACATCCACTCTTTTAGTGATACGATAGGGAATATGGCCGGGTAAAGAGTGCCATACAGTAGCAGATGTCTCTCATTTTCCCAAACGCTAACTTCCCTATTGTCAAAAGTAAAGTAAAGTACTACATTAATCACAATTTTCAATATGCAGTCACCCTCTCAGAAAACTCAGAGATACCCAGAAACCTCTAAATATGAAGGTTCTTTTGGTGTACAAAACTAAGTAATGAAGATAACATATTTGTTTTTAAAACTGAAATTTGCCATTAAGACACTGGTATCTTACAGTTTTCAGCTTTAAAATTAACAGAATTTTCTAAGCAGATTTGAAACATTCTTCAAAAAGCTTTAAAAAAACTTGAAAAATTAGGAAATGTTCTAGATAATCTAATAAATGGTTCTAATGATAAAGCGCATATAATAACAACAAACTGGAAGTTTTCAAGATCTTTTGCATGTTAAAATGGTAACTACAGTTGATGGTCAGAATTAATTGCAATTTAGATGTACAGTTGACATTTACTGGTGCTTTCTTGTTCTAGTATCAATTTGGCTGCTTTAGTAATACTTCACAGATATTACAGCACTGGTGATGAAAGCTACAGCAAGAAATGTAATGTCTTTTTTCACAGATAATGTATGTCATTATCAATAGTGTGGAGTAAAATGAACTAGGCTGGTTTTGCCTGCTTGCATACCTGTTGTTTTGCTAACAATTTGTCTTTTATCTCTAACTCCATTTTTAACTGTCTTTCCAGAAGACTAGCTTTCTCCATGATAGTTGCTATAGTGATCTCCTTCTGATGAAGCTCTTCTGTCAGGTCAAAGATTTCTGTCTTCATTCTTTCCTGCTCAGAGCGATGGGACTGCTCCTCTCGATAAAGATGGTTTCTTATCTGTAGCAAATATGTTTCAAAAAGAAAAAATGTTGTGCCGTAAATATGATTGCATCACTTACTACTTACTAGTGACATTTTTGCCGTTGCTTCCAAGACACCAACTCTTCTAACCAAATCAGAGATTTTTGAGATTTTATAATAAAATGTCTTCATGACTCAGTGCACATAGCTTTATTTTCACATCTTTTTTCAATCCTTGTCTTGTGTTTTCATTTGCCTATTTAGTATTAGAAATGAAGAAAATACAAGGAAGGCATTTAAATTAACATTTAGAAAGAATGTAATAAAAATTATGTTCATTTTAAGAATTGGAATTTATGGTGAAGAATATCCAAGCAAATATCCATTCAACAAACGTAAATATGATTTATTTAAATTGCTCCTAGGTTAATTTAGGTTTAAAATAAGTTTAATGCAGCCTAAATTAACTTGGGAGCAATATAAAGAAATCAACCTAGACACCCTTCAATGAGAAACTATGTTAGAAATAGAGTATATATAGTAAATCACTTTATGAGAATCTTTCCTACCATTATATATAAAATTTAAGGTCAAACTTTCTGCACTATCTCCTGTGCACGGTTCTCCAAAGAATCAACACAAAGATTGCTTTCATAATCTTTCTACTGTAACCAACAATTTAGTACTGATAGATGTTTGTATTATGTAAGAAACAAAACTACAAAAGCCAGCATCACAACCTTTGAACCCATTTTAATAATTCCTCACAGTACTATACACAATCAGTAGCAGATGGCATTTCATTTTTATTTATGCAAACTACACAGAAATACTAGAATTGTAAACGAATAGATGTAGATGCGAAAAATCTAAGAGCTAGATCACGACTATCATGCCAAAATTGCAGCATCCAAGTCAGCTGCATCCAATTCGAGATATTCCTGCTTACATTGCTACTCAGCAAAACCACAACATGCCTGTAAGAGGAGTTCTGAGCATCCTCTACTCCCAAAGTGTTTTGGCCTGCCAAGCCTTATGCCACTCCACAGTGCCATGCCACTACTGCTTGCACACAGCACTTCTGAAATGTGCAATGCAATGTGATGCATAGTTCAGACAAAAGAGCACTGCCCTAGACTGTGCAGCAGGTGACTGATTAAGCTTAGCCTTGTGTGGGTACCTGCTGTAGTGACCTGTATCAGTTGATCTGTTAGCATATCTTACATCTGAAACCACCTGCAAACTACTACTTACCTTCTATAGCCTATGAATTACTCATAGCCTTGGAGGGTTTATTACTTGCAAGGTATTATCTGAATCACAGTGACGCTTAGGCAATGTCTCTTCCATTATTTCAATGAAGTAGCTAGCTCTGTTGTTAGTGCACAAAATCAGAATGTCAGTTGTACAGCTATACAACTACCTCCAGAAATGCAACCATACATGAAAACTTTTTTGTATATGAAAACTTCATACTCTCCTAAAGCCACAATTTATCCTCCTGCTCTCTTCTGCATATGCACATACCAAGTCAGTACTCTGCTCTCTTTTTAAAATCCCATATTGCAGTTAAGATCTAGAAATACTTAACAATGTGAAATACCTTGTTTAGCTCTTCTCTTTGGTGTTCTTGACTTTGTGCCAATAGTAATAACTCAGTGTTTTTATTTTCTAGTTGCTCAGTAAGTTGTACACAAGATGATTGATGCCTTTCAATAAGAAATAAACAAAACATGAAACAAGCAGAATATTCAATAACCTTTACCTTACAGTATCCTCTCCTCAGTGTAAAACTGTGGAAGACCTGCTCACTGATGAAAAAAACTCAAACAACCAAAAGATTTGGCCTAAACCAGGTTCGATCTTGGAAGATATCTAGAGATTAAGGACAATGCAAGTGTGTGCAGAAAGAATCCTGAAATGTCTTGTAGATTGGTATTTCATATAATCTCAAATAGCTATGGTAGATTAGATAAGCCATAAAAAGATTAACATTTTACTCAAAGGAGGTTAGGGATGCTCTTAATCGCACTACTTCCAAAGTGTTTTAATGCTGAGAAAATGAAAGGCACTGTAAACATATAAATAGAAATAAATGAAATGCATTGATTTGTAAAGATCTAGGCAGCATCAAAACCTTTTAACAGAGCTTACATCTTTTGCCTGCAATCTTGTCATATATAATTGCTAATGAAAAATGTTTATTCTAAAATTGTTTAGAATCTGACATTTGAATCCAGAGTATCTTTTTAAACAGACTTAATTTAAATCAAATGTAAGAAAAGTTATTAGCTCAGAAGTACTTGTTAATTTCAATATTCTCTTCAACATACATACTTTATTTGAATTTCCTGCATATCTTTATACTCGCTGATTTTCAATAATTCTGCATGCAACTGTTGGCATTCCAGTTGTATCCTTCTCCAGAGAGCATCCCATGACTGCAGCTCATTTCTCATTTCTGAAAAGCCTGCCTCCATGTTCTAAAGAAACAAGCAAATACATAAATAGTTAAACAAAATGAGATGGTAGTAGCTCAAAATGCTGTATTTTAACACATAATTTTCGATACCTGTATAATTTGTAGGAAAGGACATACATGCTTTTATTTTGAGTTTCATTTCTGAAAAAGGCATTGCTTTCATGTCAGTTCCTTTCTCCAGAAATGTTATCTAAAAAATTAGATGCTGAATATTCTTTAGCTCTTGCAACGTTCGAATGCATGTCTCTGAAACTACCACAGGAAACATCATTCGGAAGTTCTTTATTGTACTAAATGCATCTAAACTAGCCTGCTTGTTTCAGCAGGTTCTGCACCCTAGAACATGCTTCACATGCAGGAATTAGTGCCATAAGTAACTTGCATTTTCTATTTTCCTAACAGCATTTCCAAATTTACATTTTTATTTGAAAAGTACAAGGCTATAGAAAGGCAGGATTAGGTGCATGTCTTCATTAAACATTGCCTGGAAGCTTGGAGCAGATACATCTAGGCTTAAGTACTTAGATAAGGCGTGTGCTCAATCATCATCTCCAAAACTATACCTAGCTGCATGGAGCTAATTGCTTATTTAAATGAACATCACACAATTTTAAACAGTCACTAAAAAATTTTTCTTAGGGACTCCACAAATCTTGTCTCTATTTTACCTTTAATTTCTGATTGATAATGTGATAGACAACCTGAAGATACATGTTATACTTGGCATCATAAAATCAGAATTCCCCAAAAAATCAGAATTCCCCCAAAATATACTGAAAACATACTAAAGATAAGAACTTGGAAATGTAACCCACAAATAACAAAAGTAGCAATAATAATCAGATTCTTGCAATAATAATATCCAGAGAATACTTATTTCCTCTCACCCAAGATTCAAAAGCACGTTGCAGATAAAATAAAAAGGACTTTTCAAGGATGTTGATCCTTTGCCTTTAAAACTATTACACTAAAAACACTAGTATTTTTCATAATTTCTTCATTTTAATGTAGTTTCCATGTTTAAAAGCAAAAATAAAGCCTTTAAACTTTCAAAAAGCAACTGGAATCCAGAAATGACACCGCAAGCAAGGAACTTCAAAGGTTTATTTCCCTTAGAGCCTCATATTAGAATGACCTTCCTTCCAAGAAGCCTGTGGTTTTCCTCTGGCTGAAAGGGCTGCTGAAGACAGATATGAAGCGCTTTTACGTTTTTTATAGGGACTGCATATACAGATTCATTCATCTTATCCTTTGTTAAATTGAGGCTGAGAGCGCTTTTTTAAACCCTGAAATGCAAGTCTGGACATAGTCAAGTGAAATAAAGCTTAATGAATTGTTAAAATTGTCTGCAAGACTTGCTTATGATCATCTTCATGACTTCAACATTCAAGAAATAGCCACAATTATTTTATAATGTATGTATTTTATAATTTGGGGGAGGGTTACCCCTCTTATTTCATTCTGGGGTGGATAAGGGGAATGAATGCTGCACAATTGTGTGGTGGAAGCCATATCATCTGTGGCAGACTGCAGTCATCATACATATTTACATAAATTGTATTTCCTTCTGTGAATTATAATAATAGCAGGAACAACAGCAGCCACAAGAATAACTGAAACAGAACTTCAGGTCAAGAGTTTCACACATCACTTCAAAAAAATCATTTAGATATGTACCACTTATTATTTTAGGAAATATCTATTGCATCTAGTTAAAACACCAAAATGAAAATTGATTTTGAACCAGAAAACTTCAGGTTTTTTTTAGAAAATATCTAATGAAATATAACTTTTTAAGAGCCTGTTTCAAGTTGAAAAATTTACCAAATCCTCTCTTTTCTTCTGTGAAAAGTTTTGCTTCAACTAGCTTGCTGTGTTTGATATCAAAAGGAAGTCTCAAAAATTTCCTGATCAGCTTCTGTTCTAGTTCTACTCAAAGCTGTTCAACCTTTTTAATACAATTATATGCTGCATTTCTATGTAAATTAGTGTCCAGCAGCTGACTTAATGCAGACTTTCCAGGAACCAAGCCTCCTGTGGGGTGTTTTCAGGCTGCCTCTCATGTATGGCTGCAATTAAGTTTGTCAGACCATTCACAAGGTAGAGAAATAGTCTGCAGTCTCAGTTTGGATCTTCTAAAGTTCATATTTTCTGTACAGCCAACAAATTGGTCTTACATACATTTCACTTTATCACTGTTTCCTTGCTAATTAATAGTATGACAAAAATATTTAGAAGCAGACATGAAATGGTCATAGGCATAGAAGATATATGAGACACAATACCAGGCTTGCTGCCGTTGCCATCAGCCTTCTCCCCACCAAGATTCCCATCTACTCCTCCCTCCTTTACCCACATCAGGTCCAACTATTCCCATCCTCCACCTGGCACTCCTTCACGCAAACCTGCTTACTTCTTCTGGCTGACAACAGGCCTTGCACTTCCTTCTTTCTCATACAGACATTCCTAAAAAAATACTTTCTCTGAGCTACACGTTTTCACCATACATTGACTCTACATCAGTGTTTCCCTTCTGCAGCTATTTGCAAATGCGGCTTTTCTAACTAACACAGCAGTATTCCACACCACCAGCACAGTTATTCTGCAACTTTCTGCCTTTTAGCTGATAATGTTATGTACATCTAGCTCCACTTCTACTTAAAATGTCTTCAGTGCTTCCTACAGCTCCTGTATTCTATTCACACGATTCCAAAAATCCTCTTGCTTGAAGATTTTCTTAAAAGGCTACAGTACAATGACATCTACTCTGTCGTACAGTACCTATCCACCTGCTCCAATTGCTATAGGATAGGATAGGATAGGATAGGATAGGATAGGATAGGATAGGATAGGATAGGATAGGCTATGCTATTCCAGTTGGAAGGGACCTACAATGATCATCTAGTCCAACTGCCTGACCACTTCAGGGCTGACCACAAGTTAAAGCATGTTGTTAAGGGCATTGTCCAAATGCCTCTTAAACACTGACAGGCTTGGGGCATCGACCACCTCTCTCGGAAGCCTCTTCCAGTGTTTGACCACTCTCTTGGTAAAGAAATGCTTCCTAATGTCCAGTTTAAACCTCCCCTGGCGCAGCTTTGAACCATTCCCATGCATCCTATCACTGGGTACCAGGGAGAAGAGACTAGCACCTCCCTCTCCACTTTGATTTGTTCCACTTCATATTCTAGTCCCAGTACTTTTCATGGCAGCCTTTTTAACAGGCCCCAAAACAGGTTTTTGCTTGCATACCAATAACTTTTATACAGGCAAATGACTCAGTGAACTAATGTGCAAATGAAATGTATAAACAACACGTGCTAAACTTGGCTGTTCTGACAATACCTGAAATTAACCTCCACCACATATATGTTAATTCCTATATAAGTATATTGCATATGAAGTTATAACTCTGCGAGGTTGTCTGTAAACAGAAGTAGAGTATCTTTCTCCAGAAAGAGTCAAAGTCACTGTAAGCCACTCAATATATTACTGAACCTTGAAGTGCTTAAATAAATAAGCGAAAGCATAATTTATATATGTTACCTGAAAAAAACAGCAACGAGAATCTCATTCCTGATCTGTTTCAAACATAGCTAATAAAAAAGGCTGTAAAGATCTTGTATTATCTCAATCTTGTCAGAACTCATATATCACTACCAAAGGAAGAGGCCCAAATGGCTGTCTTCATAGATCAGTGCTACGTTGAAAAACGTTACATTAGGGATAAGATAAAACTGATGGTTCTTCAAATGGCTGGCAACTTAAAAATTCATTGGCTGCAAAATCTTCTCTCAATAATAAAGTATACCATACACTTTTCTATATACTTATTTACTAGCTATATGGCACAGTGTACAAGTTGTAAATCAGATAAAGAGATTTCATAGCAGTAATTTATATACAAGGAACCAAGTGAACAAGGCTAAGTTCCTGTAGATGCTACGGATATAGGAAAGTTATAAAACTGTAGATAAACAGACAAGAATAAAATATACTACTACATATCAAACATATTTCTGTTTTCTCTTTAAATGTTACTCAAAAAATTGTACTGTTCACAGCTCGTTCTGTATTCCTTCAAAGAATATACCTAACGTTCAGATCTTTTATATAGGCATCTCAGTACAACTTTTTAAAGTATACTTCTAAGTAATTCATGCTCCAACATTGATTCCACAGTCATCATGAAAAAGAAAAACTATTACTACCTGGCACTGGTTTTGGTACATTTTTAGATCCTCCCGGAGTTTCAGATTTTCCTCTTCTAGTTTATTCTTGTTTATTGCTATTTCATTCACAATTGCCTTTAGCTTTTCAATAATCACCTCATCCTTTTCACTTTTGGGCTGGCAATAGGTAATTACCTCTTCTTGGTTTTGTTTCTTATTGCTTATTTGGAATTGATAATTCTGGGTCTGCTTCTATAAAACAAGAAAATCTTTTAAAATAAAAATTCAATAATTGTATGTAAATTGTTAGGACCAAACCATTACTACTAAAATCATGAGGCTATTTCCATTTTCACCAGTATTTGCTTAGAAAAGATGGCACAATTGGACCAGTTTGCATTACTTCTCTAAAGGATACTTCCACTTCCTTTTTTTAGTCTCAAGTTCTTTGCCCTCAGTAAGAGAAATGTTTCAGAAACTTTCAAGGGCACAGAATTTTTTCAAGGATTTTTCTCCTCTGCTGTGTATTTCCCTAGCACTTAATGTTAATTAGCCCCAAATGTGAAAAAGGTGATTACGATGACCTACTCAAAGCAGTTACCGATAAAAAATAATTTGAGAGAAATGTTCTTCTTTGGTTCATTGAACTCAGTAGGACTTGTGTGTGTGTGCCTCCGGATAGATATTAACCTTTGACTAGAGCACTAGCATTACATAGTTCATGTGTAAACAGCTCAGTTACTACAGTAACTGTACTTCTTTGATATCATTATCCTTAAACCTGGGGAAGAATAATTCGCACATTCTGCAGAGTCCCACACTCCATTCAGTTTCTTGTACTAATTAAAATCCTAAACCCAAAACTTCAGAAAATTGGTATTGCCAGTATTTGTGAATTCACAGGCATCGTGAAGAAGCGTAATTACTATGGTAACTGTTTTTGCTGTTTAAAAAATTATCGTCATGGATCCCTCTACTGGGAGATTAACAAGCAGCAGTAATCTTTCAGAAGACTGAGAATTAGCTGGAAAACGACAACAAAATAAAACCTGGAAACCATGTATCATGTGCAGAGATCAAGTTGAGCAAGAAAATGTATATTAAAAATAAATAGGGTTACAAATACCATATTTCATTGATAAGGACTGCAAAAAGGCATGCTTTAGACTGCTTTTGACGTCATTGACTATGTTCCCATAATTTGTGTTGGCTGAACACCTAAGCAGAACTGACCACTGGCTACATATCAAATAAAAAGCCAAAGAAATTTGCAGGTAAGTTTAATTTCTATAGATAATAAATTAAGGTCCCTCTGACATCTAAGTTATGGAGTCTGACACACCAAAATGTCAAAGCATCCTGTGAAAAATATAGTGCAAGACTCCAGCTGGAAATCAAAGACCTCACAAAAGAGGAATTTGAGACAAAGACACAGGACCAATTAATGCTTTTGAAACAGTTAAGGGGTAACAGTCTATCAGACTTCTATTTAATAAACTAGTCGGTGTTATGTTACAGTTGTGAAGAAAATTGTCTTCAAAGAACATTCGCTGATGGCAGTGATGTAAGCCGCACAGAAAAATGTGGATTATCACCTTGAGTACTCTATTTTGACTTGTCTAACTATACAATCAACATGCATCAGTCAGTAGTTTTGTCTAGTCAAAGCCTTGCTTTTTTAACACATTTGTATGGAAGTTCAATAGTTGCAATATAATGCTTTCAGCATCTATAAACAAAACTTAACTGTCATCCTTGGAAACTCTGGATATGGGTAAAGAGTCTCAGAAGAATTGTTAAGAAAGTGTTTCACTAGATTAAGATCCAATGAGCTTAGTAACAGTGGAAAAGGGGATCACCAGTCAGCAACATAATTGGCGTCCCCTTACTTAATTTTCGAGCTGCCTTGTGGCCCAGTTAATTTGTAAGTAATTTTCCAATTTTTTTTAGAGTAGGATAGGTCATCAAGACACCATTAAATCAATATTTTGTTCTGGATTGGAAGGAATTAAAAAAATAAAAATATGCTAGATCAATAAGCAAATTGGCAAGTAAAAAAGAATCACAACGTCAACCAAGGACTGAATGGTAACTTGAAAGCTGAAAAATATGATAAAAAAGGGATAAGTGATTCAACAAACAACTCCAAGTGTGATTTTGGAGTAGCATATAGAAATTCATTTTTCTGCATAAATTATATTCATATATATTTATGATCTTCAAAAAAATGAGGGCTATCAGATTTGAAGGAACTTTATAGTTGAGTCAACATAGTAATGGCATGTATTACTTACTTGGTAAGATACTTTTCAATAATTTGTTATCACAATTAATTGCATATTAGTACATAGCATAGAAGATAAAAGTATCTCCACAGTACACTTAAAAAAGTAAAAAGGAACATGCATTGCTTTTTGCAGTGTTTTTTAATCAGAAATATTGTGATTTTCATCATGATACTTACTCATTTTCTCATTTTCATGAGAAAAATAAAATTAAAATAACTGTATGTATCATTAGATCTTTCAGTATGGGTCTGCCTTACCTAAAGCAATGTATTCACTACCAATATATCCATGTATTGTCAGATGTGCTATAATCTTCGTGGTGGTCAGATTTTTTACATCAAGTTAAAATAACTCTAGCTGAGCTAACAGCTCATTTTCTTCCTAAACCAGGAAGGTAGGTGTTTTACCTGAAATAAATTACATTTCTCGGACAATATTTTTTGTTGAGCATCTAAATAAACAAGATAATTTTGGCAGATTGTCCCCTTCTTATCCCATTCTCTTGATTTTGCCTTAAATTCCTGAAAGACAGCAAAACAAGGCTAGTAAACACAGGGAAAATAACTTTTTTTCCTTAATCTAAATAACTTTGTAATTTGTATAGTTCTAAGAAAAGTCTGGTTTTTTATTTAACACATAATCTTTCCATAATTTTGGAAAGAGGAGAAACAGAACAAGGATGTAAGCCAGCCATCCAGCCATCCCCCCCCGAAAAAATCCAGTCTTAAGGGCTGTTATTCTGGAAAAATTGGGCAGTAAACATAATCGTTGAATAAAAATGATAAAATATTTTAAATCACTTCCATTGCTGTAGATCTTAGCATTATGACTATAATACACCCATTTTATTGGAGGGTAGTTCCTGTCACTTTAAATTTCTATCAGTGTCAAGTAGAGTAATCAGCAGGGAATCAACTGAATTTGCTCTTAAATCATACCAGATCTTACATGTTCACAACTAGACTTTAAAATAAGTAGAACTCCAGTTACTAGAGCCGTTGCTCTTTTAGTTTGAAGAATTAGCAAAATAACAGTATGCTGTTTTATATAGTAAAAACTATAATACTTATAAGTTGTTATGAGAACTTCCTTTTTCACAATGGAAATGTTGATAGATGATTTTTTATGATTATCCTAAACTGGCATATTCCCCAAATTTTAAAAAACAAGATTTTATTTGCTACTGAAAAAAAATCGAATGCTTTCCAACATGGACTAATACAAATCTTCTCTTATAGCTTTCCTAATATCTGCTTTGGCATTTTAAACCAATAAACATCTTCCCATGTTATAAAATGTGATACAAATAGAGTTTCAGCCTACTTAATGAGGACTGCAGGTTCAAGGCCTTACTAAAGCACTGCTGAGCTTAGTAGATTTTCAAGACAGTAATTATTTCCTGAATACTAGAATTTGCTGAATATATTCCAAGCACTCATTTTTCATACTGCATAATTAATCAAATTATAGCATTGTGTTACATTATTTTCACATTTTATTCTTGAATAAGGTCATTCTCAAATTAGCTGGATCAGACAGTTTCACAGTAGTGATATATTTAGTCAATGATAGATGTATAACCCATTTATTATTCTTGTAGTAGCAGATGTTAGGGAAGTGATCGTGCCCCTGTACTCGGCACTGGTGAGGCCGCACCTTGAATACTGTGTTCAGTTTTGGGCCCCTCACTACAAGAAGGACATTGAGGTGCTGGAGCGTGTCCAGAGAAGGGCAACGAGGCTGGTGAGGGGTCCGGAGAACAAGTCTTATGAGGAGCGGCTGAGGGAGCTGGGGTTGTTTAGCCTGGAGAAAAGGAGGCTGAGGGGAGACCTCATCGCTCTCTACAACTACCTGAAAGGAGGCTGTAGCGAGGTGGGTGTTGGTCTCTTCTCCCAAGTAACTGGCGAAAGGACAAGAGGAAATGGCCTCAAGTTGCACCAGGGGAGGTTTAGATTGGATGTAAGGAAAAATGTCTTTACTGAAAGAGTAGTTAAACATTGGACCAGGCTGCCCAGGGAAGTGGTTGAGTCACCATCCCTGGAAGTATTTAAAAAACGGGTAGATGAGGCGCTTAGGGACATGGTTTAGTGGGCATCGTGTTGTTGGGTTGACGGTTGGACTCGATGATCTTGGAGGTCTCTTCCAACCTTAACGATTCTATGATTCTATGATTCTATGATATATGAGTTTTTAGTTCTCTCTTTTCCTTCTTTAGTAATCATTACTGAATCCTATTCTGCAGATTCTTTGCTATTGAGAGAGTAACAGGGCCATAAACTCACCCTTTTCCTATGCTGTAATGTTTGTTAGTGGATAGTTTGCTCATCTCTGACTATCTCAGTTTACATAGCCAGACACTAATTCAGATCATACTGGCATTAACTGCTTACTTCTGCACAGTTTTGTTCATTAGCTACTTCTTTGTGTTTTCCCTCAAAGACATAAAAGACCCTGATAATTTATACTTTGCAAGTAAGAATAATAAAAAATTTTAGTCCAAAGGGTCTGGAAAGACTAAAGCAGTAGCAGAATCCCCCCCTTGGTTTTTTTTAAATCATAACCCGGGGTTTCTCAGTTATTTAGCTTTCACTTGCTCCCGCCATACCAATCAGTTAACTCATCCTAGACACGCTTACTGCCAGAAGGGAAGACATGGAGAAATTTGAACACTGGTATTTTATAAGATATTTAATAGGTGTATTAAAAGGTCCATGGACTGTATGGATTCAGAAGGTATGGAAATAAGAAATACTAGGAGATGGACCTCTCTACTGGGTCAATCTTATTCCAGGAGGGAATTGTTTACAGGACACTTAGATATCTGAGTCCTGGACAGGGTTTGCAGGAATAAAAATCCCAGGAAAGAGTTGTTTTTCTTGTCTTCTGCATATAGGATGTTAACAGCTAAGCAGGAGTGGCTCAGGGATGGGCCCAAACATCCTTCTTGCTGTTAAAGAGCATTTAGCTTTTTTGGCTATACAGAGAACAGAAAAGGAATACATAAAATTGAAACATAAAATTACTTTTCTACAGTATGTTAAGCATGATGTGGAAAACAGAGGACTACATTCACTCTGTACCTCCACAGTGGAATGCTGTGATATGAAAAACTTTTCAGATTATTTCTAATAAAACATGAGTGGCAAGGCAGCAAGTAGCAGGGAAAATGCCTTGTTCAATGAAGCACTTATGTGTTTGGTATCTTTACCAAATTGATTCTGCTGGCAATGAACTGGTTCAAATTTTAAACCATTTCAATATGTAGCCTATGTACATAAATAATTGGTTGAGTGTTTAAACTAGTTGTTTGTGTGTTATTGTTTTTTTTTTTAACGAGTTCCTTATAGAAATCTAAATGGCTTTGAAATCAGTTCAATTTCTGAATTGTTTCAAGATGTGTCTTATACTGAACGACGACTGGTCTTGACTGTTTGGCCAGTAATGCACTGTGATACTACATGGGGAACCAGAGTTCAAAATTAGCAGGGAGAAGTTTGCACTTTTAGTTGTCAGAGGCTGCAAGTTTAGGAAGGGTAACGGATTCTTTTAACCAGTTCATACTGTCCCCAGGGCCAGGCCTCAAAATAAACACAGCTACTTCAAAGACAGTATTATAGGTTCCGCTCCAAGCTGAAGACAATCCTGTTTGCATGTTGTGATCAGTTCACACTTCCCTTTGCAAACAAACTTATATTACACTCCTACTAATATTTCTTGGACTCGATGATCTAAGAGGTCTCTTCCAACCTTAATGGTTCTATGATACTTATGTTGGCAGCTATGCTGCAGTCCAAAGCGTAGTAGCTTTTCTGATGGTAAGGACTCTTCCATATGGAAGAGACAGCAACATTATGTAGAGCTAGGATGTGGCTAGGATGTGTCCTGTTATGTAGGAACAGTCACAAGGTCACAGAAGTTAGTCCTATATTTTATAGAATAACGTAGAAGATAGGCAAGTCCAAAATAAAGATCCTAAAACCCTTCTTCATTGCAGCTTAAGTATGAAAGTACTTAAAATCTATTAGGTCTTAAATTTTTGATTGTAAAGTTCTCAAAGTGTCTAAGTAATCTATATCTACATAAATCTACATCATAAGCCTGTAAGTCTTCACAATGCTTAACAACTAGCTCACTTTCAACTGGTATTCCTCTGCTTA